TTGCGGTACGCAAGCCTCTCACTGTTGTGGCCTCTCCCGTTGTGGAGCACAGGCTCCGGACGCGCAGGCTCAGCAGCCATGGCTCACAGGCCCAGCCACTCCGCGGCACGTGGGATCTTCCAGGACTGGGGCACGAACCCGTGTCCCCTGTATCGGCAGTCAGACTCTCAACCACTGTGCCACCAGGGAAGCCCCTCTTGTCTTTTTGATAATAGCCATCCTAACAAGTATTAGGTGATATCTCATTTTTGTTTTAATTTGCATTTCCCTGATGATTAGTGATGTTAAACACCTTTTCATATACCCATCGGCCACTTGTATGTCTTCTTTGAAAAAATGTCTATTCAGGACTTCTACTTATTTTTTAATCAGGTTTTCTTTTGTGTTTTCCTTTTTTTTTTCTTTTTTCTTTTTTTGTGGGGCGGGGTGTTGGTTTTGCATGATGACTTCCTTATATATTTTAGATATAAACCTCTCTCTTTTTTTTTTTTTTTTTGCGGTATGTGGGCGTCTCACTGGTGTGGCCTCTCCCGCTGCAGAGCACAGGCTCCGGATGTGCAGGCCCAGAGGCCATGGCCCACGGGCCCAGCCGCTCTGCGGCATGTGGGATCCTCCCGGACTGGGGCACGAACCCACGTCCCCCACATCGGCAGGCGGACCCTCAACCACTGCACCACCAGGGAAGCCCAGATATAAACCTCTTATCAGATTATGGTTCTCCTGTTCCATAGGTTGTCTTTTCATTTTGTTGATTGTTTCTTTTTCTGTGCAGAAGTGTTTTAGTTTAACGTAGTCCCACTTGTTTATTTTTGCTTTTGTTCCCTGTGCTTTTGGTGTCATATCCAAAAAATCATTGCTGAGACCAAGGAGCTTTTTCCTGTTTTCTTCTAAGAGTGTTATGGTCTCAGAGCATACATTTAAATCTTTAATTCATTTAGAGTTGATTTTTATATATGGTATAAGATAAGGATCCAGTTTCATTCTTTGGAATGCAGATATCCAGTTTTCCCACCACCATTCCTAAAGAGACTATCTTTCCCCATTGTCTATTCTTGGTGCCCTTGTCAAAGATTAGTTAACCATATATGCATCGGTTTATTTCTGAATTCTCTCTTCTGTTCCATTGGCCTGAGTGTCTGGTTTTATGCCAGTACCGTACTGTTTTGATTACTAAAGTTTTATAATATAGTTTGAAATCAGGAAATGTGTTGCCTCCAGCTTTGTTCTTCCTTAACATTGCTCTGGCTATTCAGGATCTTTTGTGGTTCCATACAAATTTTAGAATTCTTTTTTCTGTTTCTGTAAAAAATGTCACTTGGGGCTTCCCTGGTGGCGCGGTGGTTGAGAGTCTGCCTGCTGATGCAGGGGACATGGGTTCATGCCCCGGTCCGGGAAGATCCCACATGCCGTGGAGCGGCTGGGCCCATGACCCATGGCCGCTGAGCCTGCGCGTCTGGAGCCTGTGCTCCGCAATGGGAGAGGCCACAACAGTGAGAGGCCTGTGTACCGCCAAAAAAAAAAAAGTCTCTTGGATTTTGATAGAGATTTTACTGGATCTGTAGATCACTTTGGGTAATAAGGACATTTTAACGATACTAATTATTCCAATCCATAAACAGGATCTTTCCTGTTTTATTTGTGTTTCTTCAATTTCTTTCATCAGTGTTTTATAGTTTTTAGTGTAAAGATTTTCACCTCCTTAGTTAAATTTATTCTAAAATATTTTATTCTTTTTGATGCTATCATAAATAGGATTGTTTTCCTAATTTCTTGGATAGGTTGTCATTAGTGTGTAGGAACACAACTGATTTTTGTATCCTGCAACCTTACTGAATTCATTTATTAGTTCTAAGAGTTTTTTGGTGGATCTTTAGGCTTTTCTACATATAAGATCATGTATCTGCAAACAGACAGTTTTAGTTCTTCTTCTCTGTTTTGGATGCCTTTTATTACTTTTTCTTCCCTAATTGCTCTGGCTAAGACTTTTAATACTTTGTTGAATAGAAGTGGTAAGAGTGGGCACCTCTGTCTCATTCCTGACCTTAGAGGAAAAGCTTTTAGCTTTTCACTATTAAGTGTGATGTTTCTGTGGGCTTGTCTATATGGCCTTTAGTATATGGAGGTATATTTCCTCTATGCCTAATTTTTGAGAATTTTTATCACGAAAGGATGTTGAATTTTGTCAAGTGCTTTTTCTGCATCTATTGAGATAATGTGATTTTTATCCTTCATTTTGTTATAGTGGTGTATCACATTTATTGATTTATGTATGTTAAACCAATGTGTATTCCAGGGATAAATCACACTTGGTCGTGGTGTATGATCCTTTTACTGTGCTATTGAATTCAGTTTTGTTGTTGTTGTTGTTACTGAGGATTTTTGCCACTATGTTTATCAGGATGTTGGCCTGTAATTTTCTCTTTTTAAAGTCCCTACATGCCTTTGTTATGAGAATAATGCTGACCTCTTAAAACAAGTTTGGAAGTGTTCCCTCCCCTTCAGTATTTCAGAAGCATTTGAGAAGAACTGGTGTTAATTCTTCCTTAGATGCTTAGTAGAGTTTCAGTCTCACCAGTGAAGTTATCTGGTCCTGAGCTTTTCTTCATTTGGGAGGTTTTTGATTACTGCTTTAATGTCCTTACTTGTTATAGCTCTGTTCAGATTTTTTATATCTTTATGATTATTCTTGGTAAGTTGATTGTTTCTAGGAATTTATCCATTTCTTCTAAGTTATCCATTTTTTTTCACATATAATTGTTCATAGTAGTCTCTTAGGATTCATTGTATTTCTGTAGTATCAGCTGTAATCTATGCTTTCATTTGTAATTTTATTTGAGTCCTTTTTTTTGCTTAATTAATTAGCAAAAGTATATCAGTTTTATTTATCTTTAAAAAAACAACTCTTAGTTTCGTTGTTTTTTTTGTTGTCATTTTTTCTGGTCTGTTTCATATATTTTTGCTCTCATCTTAGTAGTTTCCTTCCTTCTGCTGAGATTAGTTTGTTCTTTTTTCTAGTTTCTTAAGATGTAAAGTTATGTTGTTTATCTGAGAGCTTTGTTTTTACTTCATGTCGGCATTTTTTGCTATAAACTTCTCTCTTAGAACTGCTTTTGTTACATCCCATGGTTTTGGTTTGTTGTGTTTCCATTTTCATTTGTATTGAGATACTTTTTAAAAATTATTTATTTATTTATTTATTTTTGGCTGCATCGGGTCTTAGTTGTGGCACATGGGATCTTCCTTGCGGCATGTGGGATCTTTCATTGCAGCATGCGGTCTCTTCATTGCGGCACTTGCGCTTCTCTCTCTAGTTGCAGTGCGTGGGCTCCAGAGCACACGGGCTCAGTAGTTGCAGCATGGGCTCTCTAGTTGCGGCACGCATACTCAGTAGTTGCAGCACACGGGCTTAGTTGCCCTGTGGCATGTGGGATCTTAGTTCCCCAACCAGGGATTGAACCCGTGTCACCTGCATTGGAAGGTGGATTCTCAACCACTGGACCACCAAGGATGTCCCTTAAGATGCTATTTGATTTCTCTCTTGATTTCTTCTTTGATCCATTGGTTGTTCAGGTGCATGTTCTTCAATTTCCACGTATTTGTGACTATTTCAATTTTCCTTATGTTATTAATTTCTAATTTCTTACCATTGTGGTTGGAAAAGATACTTGATGTAATTTCAGTCTTAAATTTCTTAAGACTTATTTTGTGGCCCAACATATAATCTATCTTGGAGAATGTTCCATGGGCACTTGAGAAGAGAAGAATGTATATTCTGTGCTGTAGATTTAAACTAAATCATAACAATAATTAACATTAAATGTAAATGGTCTAAACATCCCAGTTAAAAAGCAGAGATTATCAGGCTGGATAAACATAAAATAATGAACTGTTTTGGAATGAATTCCAAAATCATTGTGCTAAATGAAAAAAAACAGACACAAATGATTACATACTGTATAATAACATTTACATAGAATTCTAAAAAAGGCAAAACAGAAAGTAGACCATTGGTTGACAGGGTCAGCAATAAAGGAAACTGCCTGAAGAGGGATAGGAAGGAGATTTTAGGTAGTGAAAATATTCTAAATTATGATTGTGGTGGTGGTTACATGACTATACATTTATTAAAATGTATCTACATGTACATTGAAAGTTTGTGAATTTTGTCATATATAAATTATTTCTCAATAAAACTGATTGACATCACACAGCTAATTAACTAAGTTCATGTAGGCATTTAGGAAATGTAAAGATGAATAGAAATGTTTTAAATGAACTGAAAAAAGTTTAGTACTGAAAAACAAATCTTTCTACCCTAATTAAATGATACTCAAAATGTTAGAAGTTAATGAGTTTTTAAATGACCTTTAATTACCTACTATCTTTTTTTAATATATTTTTAAATTATTAGGTTGAACTAAAGCGACAATATAATGACCAGCATTCAAAATTAAGAGGTCTTTTACCAGGTCGTCAGTGGTATGAAATTCAAGCATACAGGGCCTTAAACCAGGCCCTAGGTAGGTAAGTGGTGTGAAATTTAATGTAATATTACTGTAATATTATCTCTGACCAGAACTATTTGTAGAGCTAATCTTGCTACTTTATTCCTTATAGTAAATTTGATGGAATTTTATTTCACTAGAACCCTGGGAACTGGTATATTTTCAGTGATACATGTCAGGAGTGAAAGTTGAAAGAGTCAATGGAATAATTGAAACCCAAAATAAAACTCAATATTTGCTAAAGTTTAAAGATTTATGATTGGTCAGTGAGTGTACAACAGAGTGCTCAGTAAATGTTTATAGAAGCTCACCACCAAACAATAAAATTTTATCTTGTGAACATCAGAAGCTAAACGATGATTTTATGGGTAAAAAGCAAACCATTTAAGAAGAGTTAAAACAAACTGTGTTCATGGTACTAAAGAATTCACACCAACTAACAGTAAAATTTAATTATAATACTCTTTTTTCTAAAGATTCTGGTCCATTAAGATTTGTGCTTTGTGGAACTAGTTTTTAAATCACCATTTTATACCATAATTTCACAGGACATCAACACTTTAAATTTATAAATACTATAGTTATTAGATTATAATCTAATTTAACACTTTATGTTCTCTATTTATGAAATTATAATTAGTTTAACCATTTAATAGTTTTTTCCTGTGAAGCTGTACAAATAAAATTCAGATAATTCAAATAGAGGAACACAGGTTAAGAGTAAAATCATGAAAATATGGCCATTTGACACGTTTTCAGATCAGCCAGAAGACCCACAGCTAACCATTATCTGCCCTAACCAATCTAGAAATTGGACTTTTCTCAAGTGTCTTGTTTACTCACATTAGCTCATTTAAACATAAGCAGACCAGCTTGCATTTGAGTTCAGATTTACATATGCTGATGACGTGACTGCAACAGCTGGATTTAAGTCCCAGAACACATCACCCACTCCCCTCCCCATCATTTCAGAATGATATTCTGCATTTGTTTCTCTTCAAACTGAATGATTCAGTCTTATGTTTGCCAAGTGCCAGTGGGATTTCTAGGCAGAGAACCTACTGCCCTTCTCTGCCTAGAAATCCCACTGGTACTTGGCATCAGGTTTCACTGGAAATTGTTCTTGAAGCATTTCATCTACTTACTTTGTCTCTCCCTGTTGATTGACCTGTTTGTTTTATTTTAATAAATTCAGCAAATAGTTTCTAGGGGAGCCTGAATGTTTGTTTTAAAATTCTTGCCTTTTAGTCAGTAGGCTTAATTTCAGGAAAATAAATATTTTTACCTCAGTTGATTTTTTCTCTTAATTCTCTTAATATAAGCAATGCCTTGAATTTTAAGAAACCATTTGAAGCAAAAGTACATTTGTATCCTATTTTGTCATTTATAAACCTTTTCTACATATATTAAACAGGTTGTGAAAGATGAAATTACTTGTCTAATGTTACATAGCTACTAAATGCACCTTCATGTCTTGACACCACCTACATTTAAAACCTTAAGACTTGGTTTTTCATCCTTATGCCTACCTGTATCCACTAAAATTCTCACTATTAAATATAAACATCTCACTATTAAACTGTTAAATGTACCATATCCTTTCATTATTCTTTGCCTTGGCATACAAGTTACCATACAATTCATTTGACAAGTTTACCAATCAAAACCTAGTTGAAGAGGTCATGCCCTTTATGAAGACTTTTTTTATTTCTCCAACTAGAGTTATTTACTCCTTAGGAAACCCATAGCACTTTATACTTATCTCTATTATAGCATATATCTCATTGTTTTGGAGTAGCCTGTTTATCTGTCTCCTTCCCTAAACATGTATTAGACATTTTTCCATTCTCAGCAACCACCTGTGCCTCATCTTGGGACATAGATGCACAATAAGTACTTGTTGAATTAGTGAAAAATGCCAGGTTCAGTGCTTTTCCAGCTATACTATATTGGCCAGAGAGCTTCTAGAGCTTCAAAACATACTTTTCAAGAATTTCAGAAAAAACATGTGTTTATAATGTTGATCTAGAATACTATAATTTCAGTATTTTATTAACTAAAAAGTGGATAGCCCAACTGTCATTTTACTGATTTTCAGGGAAACAGTATCAACAAGTAGCAACTTATTCCAAAGAAACATCCACTAAAAAAAAATCAAGTGAATGTTTTACATCATTTGATAAAAGTCATGTGTATTAATTGACATAAAAGGTGCTTATACTAATGCACTGTTCTTTTAAGGGATATGTCTAGAAGGACTAAAGTAAGCAGAAACAAATTGAGTTTAAGAAAATGTTATCTTTTTTTTAAGCTCACATGGAACTGTTAGAGTATTTGAAGTAATGTAAATCCATAAAAAGTAATAACAGCTTTCAGGAATGTACCAGGTGGTTTTGTGACCAGGTTACAACTGCACTATAAGTTTCCTAAAGGGTCTGCTTTACTAAAGTATAATCTTTGTCTCAAGTGGGCATAATTCATTTGAGCAAGGCAGTATGAAAACAATGGAAAAAAGAGAAGGTGAAACCTTTTTCTCTGAACTGTTTAACTTTGTTAACTTAAATGCCTTTCTGCCATAGGACACTTTAAACATAAACCAAAATAGAATAGCACCCTGACTTTGCATTGATTTTCAACACTGTTATATAATATTGGCAATATACATCTTCCTATCCTGCCCAATTTTATGGTTGGTCTGATACCTCAGAACCTATGGATTACTTTAATTTTATATAACGTTATATAAAATTTAGATTTTTAATGTCCCTATGGAATAATCAAACCCTTATGCGAATTTTCACCCCCCTTTCAAAATCCCATGACAGTTAAGGAATAAAAATGTCAAACCTATAAAGTTGAAACGAGTGGGAGAAGAAACAATGACAGATGAGCTGTCAATAAATTTTGAACACTGGAAAACAGATGAACAATTGAATGACTTAGCAGGCAAGAGAAAGCTGAAATTTTAAATCTGTAATCATGAAAGCTAACAAGATCTTCCAGATTCAAGCATGGAAAAGCTTAAGACTTGGGGGTACTCTAAAGTACTGTTAAACTAAAGAGGATTGGTTACAAGTTAGTATATGTAGTAGTTAGACAGCCCCCTCCCCCACCCAGGTTTACTCTCTGGATAGAATGAACTAGAGAGTCTATATATTCTTTAACTACAGTCACAGCTAAGGATATGTTAAAGATGTGGGGTAAGAAAAGTGTACCTACTGAATGTGAGAGCTCCATTCTCTTTTTCTTCTCAGCTCTGAGTAGGCTGACAATCTTATATCTTCACGGCAGGAAAGTACAGTGTTCCTGTCTAAGAAAACTGACCACCCCATGAATAAGGGCCTACAGATAGTAACAAAGTGGCCCTGTTCCTACCTTACTGCAAGCCTCCCAGCCTATAAGTCCCACCCATGTACACAAAGCTACCAATCAGCACTTTAGTGCCTTACTCTTAAATAAGTGCATGGAGTCTTCACCAGATATTCAAAGAATGTCTGTAATATGAAAAACAGAGACCAAAACAATACCAACGAAACAAAAGCAGGGTGGAAGAACTTGTAGAAAACAGAAACAGTGCAGTAGAAAAGAAGTTGGCAAACTTTTTCTATAAAGGGCCAGATAAGTACATATTTTATGGTTTTCAGGCCACATACAGTCTGCATCCACATTCTTCTTTGTTTTTTCTTTAACCTTTAAAATGTAAATACCATTCCTAGATTGCAGGCTATACAAAAACATGATATGGACCAGATTTTCCCTGTGGACTACAGTTTGCCAACTGTTGGGTAAAAGAAAACTTTAAAACATCAGTAATACCCATGGGGGGGGGTAAGATATTGCCTCCATAAAACAAGAACAGAAAATAAGAAAAAGCTCCTAGACATTAATATGGTAGCGACAAATTTTAAATGCAGAATTGGGCTTAGGAGAGAAAATTGAAATTTCCCACATCCAGAAATCAAAGAGAAAGAAAATGGGAAAGACTAACTAGAAAATTAGAGGATCAGTATGCAGGAAACAACTTCTGATAAATAGGAGCTCCATATGAAGAGACTAGAGAAAATAGAGAAAGAAACATGTCAAAGGAATAATTCAAGAAAAATGCTCAGAATTGAAGGACATACTTTCCTGATGAAAGCATCCACTGAAGCACCAGTAAAGGGGGAAAAGCTACAAAGCTCCTCACTATGCAGTTTCAAAGTACCCAAGGTAAAGAAAAGGTCCTGAAACCTTCCAGAGAGAAAAAGACAACTCTCATACAAAAGATATAGAATCAATATTGAAACAGACTTCTTAAAAGCAACACTAGAAGCTGAAAGACAGTTGAAAATTATCTTCAATTATTTGAGGGAAATTTTTGACTTGCAATCTAAGTTCTTAGCAACGCAAATGATCCATAAACTGTAAGACAGACTAAAGCCTTCAGTATTCAGTATTAAAGGACCTAAAACATTTGCTTCAAATGCACACTTTCTCAGGATCCAACTGAAAGATATTCTCCAACAAAGAAGAGAAAATTCAGAAAGAGGAATACCAAGGATGCAGGAAACCGGAGTTCCAACCCAGAAAAGTGAAATTCCCAAAACAACCAAGGAAGAAAGCTCTGGGATGAATCTGTGCAGCAGTCCCATAGGAGTTAGTCTAGATTGGTTTTTGAGGATGGAAGGTTTTGCCCTTATTGAGAAAAATTCTTGCAGCTGTGTGACAAAGTGGGAAATAATTAATGATAGAAACATAGAAAATTAAGCAAAAAAGGAAAGAGGGAGAGTTATTAACTCCAAGGCAGACAAAAACATCTTGTATGGGAAAGGACATGTAATCATACTGGATCATGTAATTCACCTTTAAATGGTAATCCACTGAATATTGATTTACAAAAGAATTGTGATATAATGCTGCTAGAAGAATGGAGAGGTAGTGAAGTTATCAGTGATATGAGATAAACATCTTCTGTAGGAAGAGTCAGTAAATGATTTCTAATGGTTAAAAACCAGGAAGTAGTAGTAGTATGTTATTTAG